AATTTTTCATAAACACACACTCAAAAAAATAATGATAATATATCTATATATATATATATATATATATATATATATATATATATATATATATATATATATATATATATATATATATATATATATATATATATATACCATCCATCCACTAGGGGGCAGTGTTAATGTTTGCATAAAGTGATCTTTTTTTTTACTCTAAGTTTCGGAAGGAGATAATTCATAATATTTCTCATTTAAAATGTGAGTAAAGGACAACTGACTCCTAGTAAATAGCGCATAAAACAATGTAAAGAAGTTTCAGAAGTGACTAGAACCACAATCACACCAAGAAGCAAATACACTTCAGCTCCGAGACGATATCTCCCAGTAGCTCTGCAATACGTACTGTGACCATTTTGTATTGCGATATAGTGTGTGGGTAATTCTTATTTATAATATATTTCAGTCTATGTTTAGGATTCAATAGTGGATATCATAAAAGGTAACTCGGAAGTCTACGCTGAGAAATAATATAGTTCTGTATTATTTATTATGTTTGGGTGATAAATGATGCCCTCATTTTACCTCAGTTCTATCTCTTTAAAATCCAATTGTATTGGTCCTGCATCTTGGATTTTCTCTGTGATACATTTTCCAATGATCTCACTTTGACCCTCTTTCTTTTCATCCTTCTCTATCTTCCTCTACATAACAGCATGTGTAATGGAGAAAAGCATTTGGGAAAAGGTTTCGTAAACAAGCTTCCTTCAATTCTAATGAAATTGAAAGCTTTACTCATTTTCTGACAGGAACGTGTGATGCATGAAACAGTTTGATATTTTTACGTTTGTCAATATTGCTCTTTTCATCAAGGTCATCAAATACGCTTCAAACTGGAAAAAGCTCTTTTATTTATATGTTCTGACTGCTTGGAAGATTGATCAAAACCACAGTGACATTCTTAATTCACAGAGAAGGCTTGTATGGAAATTCTACGCAGTGTTAAATTAGCATTTGAGTTGTTTGTGTAACACAAAGCTCAGATTACAACAGAGTCCTCTGAGGAAACCACATGAACACGGGTTTTAAACTCAAGCTCTCTGTCAGAATATACTGTTTATTTTTCCTTAGATCAGGAGCCGTAGTGTTTAATAGGCTCAAGACTTTGATTTTGCTTATGGAGTTTGAACATTGAAGAAAGAAGCTTTAAACTGTAGCTAAAACGGTTATTTCAATTAACAATACAAGCATCCCAGGTGCCCTGTTAGACCTTGAGACCCCACTGTTCCCATTCTTCCAGAACCTTTCTAATGGAAGCCTGGAGTGCTTCTATTATATTAAAGATCTCTTATTGTGTAATCCGAATCTGGGTTTCAATTCTGGGGAAAAACACGATTAACACCATTTTTTAAAAATCAAGTTACTACCAAAATGGGCTTCAATTGTGGGATCCCTTTAAATTTTGCTAATTTTATTGTTCCAAAACGTGAATGTGTCTGTGGTGAGGACGCAAAAGCCATCAAAAGACAACCACAACATTTAAAAAGAAGATATATGCAGGTGCTGATTGCCAATTACAAAAACGTGATGTCTTCCGCATCGAGGAATGACGGAGCCTCAAAGAGCTTGTACTTATTATTTAGAATGTCCTGAAAAGTTCTCCTCAAACTCCTCCCAGGAAGGTGATCATCAAGCTTCAATCCAGCAACATTCTCACTGAAAGACTACCATTGACACCTTGCACAAGTAGGGCAAGACAAAAAAAAGAGGCTGCTGATTACAGAGCTCTGTGTTTGAGCACATGAATAGAGAGGCAAAGGGAAAACATGTCGTTGATAAAATGCACACGCAATAGGGATAACCATACTATGGAAAGTATCGTGAAACAAAACCAAAAGAGATGGATTGTAGCTGGAATCAGTGTTCCAAAAACCTCCACGCATAGATGTAAACAAACCACGTCTTTTAGCTGTCAAGCCCTTTTTTGACTGGAAAAGGGCAGGATGAACCTCAGCTAAAGCTAAAAAGCACTAGACTGCTGCTGAGTGGTCCAGAGTTATGTTCTTTCATGAAAGTAAATATTGCACTTCCTTAAGGAATCACGGCCTGGAGAAAAAAGTACAAAATCCAACGTAAAGCTTCAAAAATTAGTGATGGCTTATGGTGCCAAGTCTGCTGGTGTTGGTCCACTGTGTTTTCTGAGGTTCACATTTTAGAGCATTCCATGCTTCCTGACCAACTTTATGGAGATGCAGATTTCATTTTCCAACAGAACTTGACACCTGTACACGTAGCCAAATCAACCAGCACAGGGTTGAAGAACCATGCTATCCTTGTTCTTAACCGTAAAAGTAAACTCTCCTGAACTAATTCCATGGAAAGTCTAAGTGGTATTGTGAAAGAAAGATGTGATACTCAGGCCCAACCAGAAGAGCTGAAGGCCACTATCAGAGAAGCTTGGGATCTGAGCATTGGCACCAACTGATAGACTCCATGCTACGCTGCATTGCTCCAGTAATTCGGGAAAAGGGAGCCAAAGAATTGAGTGCTGCACATGCTCAGACTTTCATCTTTGTGCTTTTCAGTTCTAAAATCCTTTTTTTCCATACTGGGAAAAGAATCTAGATGTAATACACACTGTAAATAATGGAATGGCTGCATGCATTAGAATGGAATTACTGAAATAAATCGACTTTTTCATGATTTTCTAATTTTATGACCAGCACTTGAGTTGAAAATAATGATTTTATTTTCCACTGTAGAGTCATTTTTAACAGGAAAAATTCTAGTAAATGTTTCTATCTAGTAAAAAGGCAAGGGATCAGAGCGAGGGTCTGCATTTGTTTTACTGTGTTCCAAGCTGAACAACACAATGTTTCGTTTGCTTTTGTTTTGTTTGCGTTTTTTTGTGTGATCAAGAGTTGCAATGACTTTAAGAGCCTTATTCTTCTTTTTTTTACCAAAGCTTCTGTCTTTTTTTGCACATCAGATGGCCGATTTAACCTTGCAACCGGTGTATTTTCTTTTAACTTGTAGCCTCACCACATTTGTTCTTCTAATCCTCTTTCTGATCCCCATCCAGACTTGTTTTTTGAGATCAGCCCAGGGGAGGCAATGCCTTTAATTTGAGCCGTGGAGGCAGGTGGAGGAGATGATGTCTGTGGGAGGAGAGGAATTTTAGCCACTGTTTCTTCTCCAAATAGCTTCTAGGAAAAAGAGGAGTCTTGACATAATGGATAAAGCAATCAGCATGCCAGCGGCACTTTGTTTTGTGCTCATAAAGACTGGGCTATTCGCTTCGCTCGGCTAGATACTGATTAGCATGAATGCTATATGCTACTTGATATTAGCTGAAGTGTTTTCTGCTGTTGAAGTGAAATACTCAGAAAGATGGGAACAGATCAGCTAGTGGTGTATGAATAGCTACAGATAATTACAGTAGGAATGCAGTTTTTAAGGAATAATCACCATTATTGTACATAAAGTCTCATGAATACTCTAAAGATACTGACGTGTTCTTTAAGATAAAATAGTAATAAACAAGAGACAAACAATTTAATCTCTAGCATTATAATATAAAAAGTGACCTGCTTTGCACACATCCCTTAGAAATGATCACTTGCACGAGGGGTGATGTCAAAACAATCGAGATACCTCTCGTTGCAGGCTGTAGCGTACATACTCACTGGCCATTTTATTAGGTACACCTGTTCAACTCGTAAGTAAGTAGGCTTTTTATTGTCATTTTAACCATACACAGTGAAACGAAACAACATTTCCCCAGGACCAAGGTGCTACATCAAACAAAATAATGAACATTACAGCACAGAATTATCATTAAATTATCTTTAAACGAAGCTATCAAAGTGCACTTGTGCAAAAGAGAAAAGACAGGACAAGACAAGGAACAAAAAAACAGTAGCGCTGACCAGTACACTACAGAAAGTTGTGCAAAGTAATGGATTGTCCATATGCAAATCAGAATAAAAAAATATTCCGGTCATTAGCCGATGACATGACATAAATTCCATGTATTCAAATGGCCTCCACAGTCACCGGATCGCAATTAAATAGAGCATTTTCTGGAACAGGAGATTCACATCATGGATGTGCATCTGACTAATCTGCAGCAAGTCTGTGATGCATCCATGTCAATATGGACTAAACTCTCGGAGGAATGTTTCCAGTACCTTGTTGAGTCCATACCATGAAGGATTAAGGCAAATCTGAAGGCAAAAGGGGGTCCAAACCTAATAAAAGGGCAAGAGGGGGTCCAAGCCAGTGAGTCTATCTAGAGTAATAAAATTTTTTTTTATGATTTTCCGTAGTTGAGATAGAAATATGCCATAATGGTTGCTATGGTAAACAGTCTGGTTGCTATGAAGGGGTCATTGTTCCGATTTTGACTAGGTTATATAAACCAGCCCCTGTGTCTCAATTATTTTCCGATGCTGAGATAAAGTTATATGAATTTGGATGCTAGGGTATACTGATTGGTTGCTAGGGAGTGGTTGCAACATTTTAAGTTGTTACTATGATTAACATAAACAAACCCCCATTTCTCTATGATGTTTCTTCTTGAAGATATCTTTGATTCCTATTCCTTCTCAATGCCTGTTATGTCAACGGTGACCTTTGACCCCTCTTAAAGCCTATGTTTCAAATGCTTTTGCACAATGCTATATATGTTCTTACACAGACTGATGACCTCCACACGTGTGGAGAGATAGGAAAGGAAAAGATGCAAGATAGAAAAAGAAAAATATTAAGTGTATTCTGGTCTAAAAATAGAATGTTACAGCGTTCCAGAGTGGAATACTAATGTGAATTCTTTTTGTGCTTTTTCTGTTTTTTTTCGGATGTTAAAATGCATCAGCAAATGTCCAACCAGTGATCACTTCTCAGAAAAAAGTCCAATCAGGGAACAACTGACACCCGGGCAACTTTGGTGAGAAAATATAAATCTTTTTTTCCTTCGATTTATTTAGGGTCTGAGATCAATACAGTGCTGTGGCTGTAATACAGCTTTCCTGTGGCACATTTGGTAGAGCATTGGGCTAACAGGGCAAAGGTCATGGGTTGAAATCCCAGGGAAAGCAAGAAATGATAATCATTATAATGTAAAACGTATAATAATGATCATTCAACTGTAAAAGCGTCTGCCAAATGCATAAATGTAAATGTACAAAAAAAAATCTAATAATAAGTACAAATTTGTATTATTTAAAATAGCGAGTCTGGTTTTAAGCACTTTTATCAGAATTTATAGCTAAATGTGATGAATGTTTTAGCTTTGGGCCTGGAAGACATCTTTCTGTTACATCTCTGTTGTTTCTCAACTACCTGGACCTGAGGCAGAAGCTGAAATAGTCTTTGTAATCCGATATAATGCGAGGAGAAGCCTTTTTTTGCTAGTGAAGAGGCACATGAGACTGGCCCACTCAGCAATATAAGATGGAGGGAATGCTTATGGTAGCTCAAGATAATAAAGAGATTTCTATGCGTATATATGATTTTTTTATTTATTTAGTTTTTTCATTTTGTTGGTGTTTGTATGCGTGCAAGTATATTTATAGACTTCAAATATTCCCTGGCTATTCAACGATGGATCATTTAACACAATTTAATTTCAATATGTTTTAAATTTAGTCGCATTTTACACCTTTTTTTTTTCAGAGTACCTGTATGTTTATTTTAAAGCACCTCACTTGGTTCACATGCACATTACTTTGTTCTTGAATTAATTTGATCATTCTCACCACCATTACAACCTGAATCTTCGCAGTTGTTTAAAATGTAAATAAATAGACACTTACTCTGTGACCCTGATTATATCGTCCCTCATCTAACGAGAATCATCAGATAAGCGTACTATAGCAAAAGTTTATAATGCAGATGTTATTTAACAAAATGGATACGTGGCCATTGTAATAAACGTAAACATAGCGTCATTGGTTGTTGTTCAAAGTTTTTACTTTTTTTTTTTTTTCTTTTTTTAGAGCTTGTGCACCGGAATTTTATTGTTATTGCTCACAGAATTATTTTTCAAGGCTTTCAGTGCATTTTTAGAGGGTCTAAACATGTTTGAAAAGACTGAATTTTGCACTGGTGAAAATATGACTTGGGTTCGAAAAGTGAGAAAAATGGCTTGATAGTGCCACCAAACGTGTTTCAGCAGTTTTTCGTAGGTGAATTAAATTCAGCACACTTGCGTCAGGGACCATGGCTTAAATATAACTAATATGGATTGCGTTTTCAAAAATGACAAGAAGTCAGTTATTTTACAAAAACTTTTTAAAAATATCAAATACCATAACTTTCTTATTGCAATATTAATCGTAAAAATGTCTTTAAATCACCTCATATTTTTTTTTTGTCTCTGCAAAATGCACTGTTAACCCCCGTCCCTCCCATAGTCATGCTTTCGCCACACCCCTTTTGAAACTTGTAGTTCGGGAATCATGGGTAATATAGTGCGTAATGGCCAGCAGCCACAAGTCAAACAGAACAGCAAGAAGTTGTTGAAATGAGAATTAAAAGTTTTCTGTGTGACTCCGGGGCTGGAAAGGGACATGAATAAAGCCAAAAGTGCATTGAAAGTGTTCTGTGTAAGTTTCATCATTTTGCAAGCGATTTAATCAACCATAAATGTGTTGAAATAACGACACGCTTCATGCAGTTCAGTCTCTGTGTATGCTAATGCGCTCTCTTGCTGATAAAATGTTTAATTGACATTAAAAACCAATTTCAGGCGTTTTGTGCAATGCTGGGTTGGTTAGCATAACCGCTAGCATTGCTTTCTGTAACATTAGGTCTGTTAACAAATCTAAGATCACTTTGAACATCATCATTGCCCAAATTGCTTGACATCACCCAACCCTAATGCCTATTACATTATTATCGACAGAAATACACTTTCTCTGCTTTGGTGGTGTAATGGGGTAGGAGATATTTTCTTTGCACACTTTGGGCCTATTAGTACCTATTGAGTATTGTGTCAACGCCAACATCTTTCTGAGCATTATTGCTGACCATGTCCATCCCTTTATGACCACGGTGTACCCATCTTCTGATTGCTACTTCCTACAGCATAATACATATAAAGTGCAACCATACAAAGTGTACTCAAATGACCAGTTACCAGATCTCAATCCAGTAAAGCACCATTGGGATGTGTTGGGATGGTAGATGGGACTCTGGGATGTCATTATATGGAGCAAACCCTCTGAGGAATGTTTCCAGTACACTGTTGAGTCCATGCCATGTAGGGTTAAGGCAGTTCTGAAGGCAAAAGGGAGCTCAACCGGGTACTAGTAAGGTGTACCTAATAAAGTGGCCAGTTAGTCTACCTAGAATTATTAAAAAATGCATTATTGATAGTGTATTTTGTAGTGCAAATGTATTTACATTGCGATTATTCACCAATTGATTCTGAAATTGATAAATACACAGCAAATCTAGAGGTGCACACAGCAAACTGATGTTAAAATGTTTGTAAGCGGCAAACTTTAAATAGTCTTGAAAGGCTTTCAGAAGCACAAACTAATGTCTAAACCTTTTAGATGCTGCAGCCAGCCTCCCACATGTTTCGGATTCAGCGAAAACAGAAAAATGTATTTGTTGTGCAGCAGAATCTCGAATTTATCTAACAAATAGACTCTGGCCTTACTGCCAGCTCTGTTACATGAAAGCAAAATGTTTTTTTGTCCAGTTAGTGCTTCGGAGCCTCCGGTCTGGTGTATCTCTGCGTTTGTTCATGCGGTGAATGTTCAGCCGATGCGCTGCAGTGCCCTCCCATTATAGCCTGGAACAAATAGATACACACTGTTTGAGTTTGTTTTTTCTGGAGCAAGGAGAGCATTTTGCCATAACCCGCACCTGCTGACATTATTAGAGTAACACAGAGTGACAATCTGAATACTTCCTCTCTGCACTTTCTCCTTTTTTCACACCTCTTTGGAATTTAAATCCCTTGTTTTCTCTAACAGCGGTGTTCTTGCCCATCCCTGACTTCCTGTCACTGATTGCTCTGAGATCCTCAAAAATCCAATTTACCCCTCATCCTTCCCCCTGCTCCCTTTTTAGCCTGTTGTGAGGCTCCAGACAGTGGTGTCGGTGCTGTAATTAAATGCTGAATCGATGATCCGACGATTTTTAGCGTGAGACAGTGGGTGGAGTGGTCGCTGCAGTAATGGCCCATTAGAATTTCAGAAATCCCCTCATCTCCACTGAGATGCCGAGAGCTCTGTCACTTCCCTTCTGCCGTTATGCTCCAGCAGTAAGCATTTTAACGGCACATTCGTCAAGAAGTGTAATGAATTCTCATAGTTATGCGCACTGTCAGAGGAATCAGTGGAGCTGAAAAGGGAGCGGAGTGGGTTTGTGTGTGTGAGAGAACTCAAGATAGATGACAGCAGCGTAAATATTTTGACATAAAATGTTACATACTATTAAAAAGGCAGGATCCAACGGGATTCCATCTTTATATTGTAAATAACTGGCAGAAAATGAATAAAATGACAGAAATTCGGGGTTTTGTGTTAAGTACTTTACATTAATCAAACAGATCATATGCTAGTCTTGATAAACCTAAAAAAAACATAATTTTATTTTAATACAAATATGTTTTCTTTCCATTTCAAAATAATTCCACAACCAACCTGAAATTGTCCAAAAAAAGAGTATAAATTTTTTTTATAACCAACATTTTTTTTTTTATAAATGTCAAAAGTGTCAAAATAAAAATTAATTATTCTTAAAAAATATCACAGTCTAAGAATGTGTATTTTTATATTAACCTCTCTTAAACTTTATACACGGTTTTAAAAAAAACTTTAGTTTGAATTACCTTAAAAGTATGCGTCATATCTGTTGCAATGTTCATTTAAAGCCGAAAATATAAAAACTAATAACCTTTTTGAAACGTACACATTATATTTGAAATAAAAATCAAACAATCGTGTCATTCCTACTTAATTCAAACAGCCGCTGTGATTGGCAAATGCACCGGTGTGTGCAGAGAACGGTTTGTAAGATCACAAACCACACTCAAAAAGAAGCGGCAAAGTAAGAATGTAAAAGGCAAAGGCTAGTATTTTGTTGTTCATAAGGTAAAAAAATGATAAAAACCACCACTTAATTTTAGATGTCATGTCTCATGTTTAAATATAGGCCAATAATTAAAATCACAAAAAATGCTTGTTTTGCAGGAATGAGGCATCAATAGCCATGTTTCCAAAGCAAATTAAATGTCTACAAAACTGGAATATCGCATAAAATATTTGCAAAAAAAGCACAGTTTCAATCCAACGAGACCAAGAGAACTAAACCATCACTTCCTGATAAACTGACGGCAAATATGAAAAAGAAAAATGGAAGTTACTGTGACGGAGAAGCATTTATTTGTGTGTGTATAATAACTTACTTGAGTCTGCGCATGTTTCTTTTCGTTTGCATGTTCTTAGTGATCTTCCTTTTGGAAGCAGGAGACTGCTCTTTGGGAACGAGGCAGGTCAAGAATTTTCTGGGAGGTGATTACTTTGACTAAGGAATTGTTGAACCATTTCAGAAGTTGTTCAATGAAATTGTTATATTGGTTACTCCATTAATAGTGTGCCATCACGCCCCAGTTCCTGTTTGTAGAGCCAGGTCTGAGCTCACATCACACCTGGGTCACAGAAGACTAGAGATGATACATAGGATGTTGGTCTGTTGCTTACTGTTTGTGATTTGGGTTTCCTGTTCTGGGCACTTTATTTAATGTCTGTAGGTCTCTGTTCAGTGTAGATGAGGTCGATATGCGGCTCGTGCGTTTCTGTCCACTCCCCATTTGTGATCTCCCATGTACTAGATTTGTATTATAAATTGTATTACCTCATTGTTCTCCCACATGGTTTGTTCACTGTGCGTATGTATATTTATGCATGTATATTTGTGTTTAGGTATGTACAAACTACAAAAACTGAACAGCACGAACTGTAACAAACTTATATGGTATTTTCAGGAAGGAATTCTTTCTATTCTTCTCACTCTTGAACCTTTCCCCATCACCGTTTCCAATCCCTCATACACTTTCCTTTTAACACCGCCTTGTCCTGCT